GAAGGCAGACGCTCAACCATCTGAGCCACCCAGGCGCCCCTAAGCTTATTTCTTAAACACCTTTTCTACTCATACCACTGTCTAAAAACAGTTTTTGTATGTTTAAGTTATAAAAGTGAATTAAGCCTAAAAATAATTTTAAAAGGCTTAACATGATAATATGCTGCCAGGTGCTCTGGCTAAAAATGTACATATTTTATTTGAAGCTGGAAGATGTCTTAAAATGACACTTTTATGTTAAGTTCAAAACTTTTTCCCTCTCATTGAAGATGAAGTTCTTCACATAAGCTTAGAGACATGCTTCATTTATTTGTACATACTGCTTATAAGAAGTTTGCAATTAAAGTGAGGATACCAGTTCACATTTCTGGGGTCCTGACGGTCCTATAAATGAGGCCCCATGGGATCGAGTGATTGCCTCAGTTCTCCCAGGCCGTAAAAGGCAGAGCCTTGGCCAGACTGTGGCAGCTGCAGACTTCCAGGCCCCTTTCCCCTGTGCTGTCTTGTTTAGGCTCCTTGCTCAGGCAGTGATCAGCGGAGTCCACTACCTCTTTGTTTTCTGTGACCACTTTGTGAAAATAGGTGGACCACTCCACTTGGGTCTCTCAGCTAAACCCAGCCATGTAGAAAAGTATCTCATCTAGGAAAACATTTATATTTCCAGTGGAGTTGCTTCCTATGCAATAATAGATTATTCTAAAGTCAGGGATTAAGGCAAAATTCAGATATATTTAAAATTACCCTTGAGGGGTGCCTGCCTGGCTCTGTGGGTGGAGTATATGATTCTTGATCTCGGGGTCATGAGTTTGAGCCCCACGTGGGGTGTAGAGATTACTTAAAAATAAAATCTTTAAAAAATAAACAAATTATCCTTGAACTCCAAATAAAGTAGTTGGCTTTTGTTTAGGGGCCATACTGAATTCAAAACAAGTATCTCTACACACTAGGATTTGCACCCAGCATGTCACAGTGCTGTTAATACGAGAAGGGGGTGGAAGTGAGATCAGGAAAGAGTCACAGATGCCTTGTGGGCATTGCTTCTACTGTTAAAGTAGCTGTGATTCCTTTTATTTTTTTTTTCTTTGTGCTTATGATCGAATTCATAAGCTAGATGCAATTCTGCATAAATAATGCAAATCCATTACATTTATATGCTTTCATTATGGTATTGACTCATGTAATGCAAAGAAATAAATTCAAAATTGAATAGAAAAGATGTAGTAGTTTAAACCTGGCCACTGTGCTTGTCTTCACATTTTCGATTTTGTGCACAAGGATTACCTTTGAAAGCGAGGTGATACTACAGACCTGCATCTGAAGGGCTGAGCATGAACCATGTTGGGGAGGAGAGAGGGTGCTGTGCGCAGACCCCTGTCACTCTTTCCTCTCCTTGGTCCCCTGACCACGGACAAACACTGCAGAACAGCGGTCCAGTGGAGTTGCAGTCTATAGTAAAGTGCATGCCTTTGTCCTTAAGTGTTTTTTTTTTTTAGGTTATTTATTTATTTATTTATTTGAGAGAGAGAATGAGATAGAGAGCATGAGAGGAGGGAGGTTCAGAGAGAGAAGCAGACTCCCTGCCGAGCAGGGAGCCCGATGCGGGACTCGATCCC